CCTTTTACTCCTAGCATATCTTAGCATTAGGATATTGTCTTTTTGGAAGAGTGTCTGAATTGTACGACTCACCTCTAAAATTTCATCAAAGTGTTTGACAAAACTTTAATATCAACACCATTTTTAATCCAGTTAAACATTTTTTGGTGCGTCTATATTTTCCCATTCATTTAAATTCAAATTGATATTCCCAGCTATGAAATTATTAGGGTCTTTAAACCGCAAGTCACCCAGGTTGACACAAGCCTCTGTATGACCCACTGATTCAGCCAAAATGTGGGGCAAGGGTTGAGCCTTTTCACCTTTGTAATTATCCCATACTCAACCCTCGACCCGCGTGAAAATAAAATCACTAGGGCTTCAGTGTCCCTTGAGTCAAAGGTTGCATATCCAAAATATTAAATATTATTATTAATCTTAATATTATCACCCTGAAAAAGTAACGCATAAATACAAATAAATATTGGAAGATGTGGTATGAGTGCCAATGAGACATGCTATATAATGGCCCTCTCTTTTACAATAGTGACACCTTCCTTTTCTTGTATAACTAGGTTAGACATATTTGTAATTTTTCACTTTGTATTTTAAAAAACCGAATAAGTGCAGACAAAAAAACCATTATACATTCCCCCAGGCTATGCCATGCACCGTTTTCCCCTTAACTATTTTATTTTAACATAAATAAAATCCGTTGTACTTGTCCAACTGCCAAGTTTGATCAATGTTTAATTCACCGGCCTCAAATTCAAGATACTAAAAATATTTAAATGAACCCTCAAGCCATCTAAAAGATACTGGCCAAGCCCCTTATAACAAACATACATGTACATGTACCAGCAACATTACTCGTATCTGTTAATGTTCAACTGAATGACGATGAACTTCCTGCATTTGTCATCAACGAAACACCAATGCTAGCCAACCCAGTGCTAGCTAGCGATGCACCTCCTTCTCTAGCATGTGTAGGTAAACATGACATGAAAGTTGTCGCTAACAATGAAACTGCCTCAGTCCCACCACCAATTTAAGGTTCATCATAACAAACGGACAAATATGGCTGTATTTACATGCCAAAAATTACTCTTAGTACAGACTTACCTGTCCAGTTGGAAAAGTTTTAATGCCTGGCATCCACTAGATATATAAAAGTTAAATGCATTTTGTGTTTCAGAAATATAAAATCTCTTTTGGATTTTGATGGGCATTTTTTTTCCTTCATGCAGAAGGTGTAAAAATTAACTAAGTTGTGATTCAACTTTGAGATGCTCCCTCTCAGGTAAAAACAGTATTGTATTGTATTGATTGTCCTTGATTGACATGGACAACAGGTATCTACACAACTATAGGTGAGTTAAAGGGTTTAACTGAGTGGACAGTATCAAAGTTATTCAGGTGTTTGTTTATTTTTACACCTTCTGCAGTAAGGAAAAAAAATGCCCACCAAAAACCAAAAAAGATTATATCTTTCTTAAACATAAAATGCATTTAACTTTTATATATCTAGTGGATGCCAGGCCTTAAAACTTTTCCAACTGGACAGGTAAGTCTGTACTCAAGAGAAGTTTTTGACGTGTAAATACAGCCATATTTGTCCGTTTGTTATGATGAACCTTAAGCAGCCGTACTCGGTGATCACGGTTGTACATAAGATGTTTTTCTTAAAGACTTCCCTTTTGAGGCATCAACTATAGGTTGGAATGCAAAATTGCAAAAATGCAATAGCATTCAGTCGTTTTCGAAATGTATATCTTTCCCTGTCAGCACCATCACACTATTCAACGTTTCTCCTGTTAAACCCTCAAACTCCTAAACACGTTTCTCTACAGAGTAATCTATTAAAATATGGTCCCTTTTCAGCTTTGCTAAACTTGAATCTGATATCGGCTCCACTTAAGACCTCAATACAGGATAACCGGGATTAACAGCTTCCCTATCAGCGAATGTCTAAGTTTCAACACACCAGCCATAATCAACTAAAAGAAACAAAAAGCTAAATGTCACGAAGCCATCCTGCAAAGTTAAAAATTATTCAAAGTCTGTATTCGTTAAGATATATTGCATAATAAATTATGACACATATCAAGTATACAACAACCAAAAAAGGTCTACTCGAATATACACACATCAAAAGAAAATTCTAGTTCTAAGTATACAAGGTGTATGTCCCCTTCTAAAGCATGTAATAAAATCAGAAAAATATACTTAATATACTTCATAAAAGTGAGATTCCATACATATAACAAAGGGGGAAAACGTTGTCAAACAAAAATATCATATTTTTATTTTATTTTTTTTTAACCAAAAATCCAACCTTTCGTAATATTCATAAAAACATTGTAAACATATATTACTCCCTTCTATGTCTATGATACCCAAGTGTAAAATAATTGCAACAAATATTAAACAAACTTCACAACCAATACAACCTTGAACGTTGTCCCTAAAGTTGAACGCACCTCAGAAGTGGAACTTGAAAATGTCCAAATTTCACTTAAAGAAAGTAAACTAGGGAAATAAATGCTACTTTTATAAATTATTTAATATTATGCATAATGTAAATATAAAAGTGAAGAAAAAAGGCTGTGGATTTTCTATATAATGGGAACAACAGAATGATACATAATCGGCCGTAAAAACACTTTTCCACCACAGTAAAATATAACAATATCCCGACATGCGAATCTAGAAAACAATTTAATGTCCGTCATGCATTCAAAATGGACAACATAAAATGCATTCTGCTTTCTTACAAATACAAAACGACAATAAAATAAGTAAAGAACAAGATATTAAAATAAAGTTACGTTTTTTTCCCTATGTTATAATAGCCTAATACCATAACATAACAATATACTTACAATTTAACGTTACAATCGAATCAACAACTTCTTACCACATGCCAACAATGATTACAATCTGCACGAGAAAAAATGGCATGTCTCAACATTATCCGAAAATTAAAACAGAAATACCGAGCATAGCCCTTGCTATCTCTTCTATGTCTAAAGTTCATTCCAATACATTATTTCTCTTCCAATGTTCAACTACTTTAAAATAAATTCCAATACATAAGTTCTCTTCCAATGTTCAATTACTTTAAAATAAAAGCCTTAAATTGCCTCGTTCAACTTTATCGAATACACCTGTAACTACATTCAGCATGTACAACAGCGTGTAATAAAAACACTAGTACTACTACCCGACTAAGTACACAAATATTGCAATTCTAAGGCCGCACCTATCTATTGCCAATAATTAAATTTAAAAAAACCAAACTTTTATACACCTGTAGCTACATTCAACATGTACAACAGCATGTAATAAAAACTCTAGAACTACTCGACTAAGTACACAAATATTGCAATTCTTAGGCCGCACCTATCTATTGCCTATAATTAAATTAAAAAAAAAATTATACAACTGTAGCTACATTCAACATGTACAACAGCATGTAATAAAAACTCTAGAACTACTCGACTAGGTACACAAATATTGCAATTCTCATGCCGCACCTATCTATTGTCAATAATTAAAATAAATAACTTACTCAGTCAGTGCACTCAACACAATGTCCAAAATGGACAGAATGACAGGCCAACTGTTCAGGCCGACAGTTCAGCAAAGAATGACAGGATAACTCACCTTGTCTATTCTCGCGAGATCTCATTTAAGATAAGCGACTTTACTATTAGCAATAGATTACACGTATATAAACCGTATATTACTTATTAATTCATTATCTAATAAGGTTATGGTATACGAATAATAATGTATGCATGCTGCAGATATAGACCGTAATGTCCTAATACTGCAAAGTTAAACATAATGGACGAATGAGACTGCTTACAAATGTTGAATACTCAAAGTTTTGTCAAAGATATGTGTATAAAAATGCTTTAGCGATTGAAAGAAAAATCCAAGAGTACTGTCTTTGTATATTTTTAACCTTTACTGTTTAGTCCATTTTTGGTTATATACTTTTAACGTCGCTAGGTATTCATACATCCCGCCATTGTGTTATTGTGCTATGGTCATTTTTGTATTCTTGTCTTTCATTTTTGCTGATGTACTTTGTCTATAGAGTGTCTGTATGCCATTTTGTTTTTCTTTGTTGAAATAGTTATTTGTTTTTATAGAGATTAAGATTATAACACAATGTTGACTGCTGTACCCAAATTTTTGACTGTTTGTTTTGCTCACACATTGTTGTCAATATAATGGAATTATATATGACTGTCATACAAGTGAGAGGTTTAGCTAGCTATAAAACCGGGTTTTAATCACCATGTTCTTCAGAAGGAAATGCCTGTACCAAGTCAGGAATATGACAGTTGTTTTCCATTCGTTTAATCTGTTTGAGAGTTTGATTTTGCCATTTGATAAAAGACTTTTCGTTTTGAATTTTCCTTGGAGTTCGTCTTTTTTTGTTATTTTACTTTCTTCTTCTCTTTGGTCTGGTTGTTGTCTCTTTGACAATTCCCCGTTTCCATTCTCTATTCTGTTGTTTTGTTGTTCTTTTCGTTTTTTTTGCCATGGCGTTGTCGTTGTCTTCGAAGTATGATTTTGCGGAATATATCTTCGGTATCATCCGCCTCTCTTTCAGTGAACCCGTGTACTGGCAAGTCTGAGAAAATAAAGAGTTCAATCGTGGGAACCATATTTTGTCTCGGGACGTCCTCGGTCAATATACTTTCTGAGTGTCGTTAAAAATATGTATTGACCTCATCAATTTATATTGGGAGCAATATAAAGACTTGATTTTTGCTACTCTTTTCTATCTTAGATACTGAGTTATGAATTTTAGACAATGAAACTCGAATTTCTAATTTCGGATCACGAAGGATCGTACTAGATTTTCATGTCAAGGATGTATGATATTTCAGGTGTTAAGATAATTTAACAGATGCACATTTATGTATCGGTACATTTGAGTTATCTATTGTCTCTGGTACTTTTGAAACTAATGATATATGTTTAAGCTGATTTGTAATTTGTAGATGAAATGTTGTGGTGTAAATGGCTATGAAGATTTCGGTTACACTCACACAGATGACTGGAAAACTCCTGGAGGTGTAACTGATCCTCTAACTGCACCTCTTGTTTGTTGTATTGCAGAGCCAGCAGGATTTACAATGACAGCCACCGCCTGCGCGCGCTCAGGCACCTTGGCCATAAATACACAGGTAAAAATAGTTATGTATAAGCAGCAGTGGTGTATGGGAATGCATATAAACGTTTGTTTGATCCAACAGTATTGTGCATATCAAATAACACAAGAAAATAAATCAGGCTCTAAACAATTGTTTGGGTGTCAGCAAAGAAACTCATTTTAAATTGTAATTTCCATGACATGTGTTTTGGACTTTTTTCAATAATACGTATTTAGTATTCCCATTTAAATATGATCATTGAAGGGAATAATATCAGATTATTTATCATGGCAGTAAGTTGCTTATTTATGATTCTAATATGACGTGTTGCTTTTGCTTTGTAAACAACAGCGTGATAAAAAATCTATATAAAGCGCAGACTCACAGATGTACTGTTAGAGTTCACCCCACGTAAATCCACATGTATCGTAACATATACACACATACTACATTGTATGTCGATGTGACTGTGTGAAAATTGAAAATGAAAAAGATATGTGTGAAATTGAAAATGAAAAAGATATGTGTGAAAATTGAAAATAAAAAAAAATACATAAGTGTTATTCCTATTATAATGCAAAACTAAACAAATAGTGATTAGAGTTTGGAAAAATGTATAAAATTAGAAATAAAAATAAAATTCCGCGAAGTTTCATGAATGACTTAAGCACATTGACGTCATATTTTTATGAAAACTCTTTAGCTGAATAGAAGATTATCCCGTTACTTGTACGCATCACATCTGGAAACTATCTGATTTAAATGGAGTTTTTGAGGTAAATGTTGTTTTTTTATTGATTCAATTGCATTAATCGCAAATTTGTGGTTTTCAGCAAGTCAATATGGCGGCTCACTCCATTAGTTACGACATTAATTGTGGATTTGACGGAATGTAAATACCCAATGAAACAAGTTGTTAATTTAAAAAAAATGCAAATGTTTGGATTGAAAATTATAAGGATTAAACACATCCTTTCTTGAGGTTATTTAAGAAATAACGTTAGTCGCAAGTTGAAAAAAAGCGAAGCGCTTTCCTGGATTTACCTTCATCAGGAACGTTCAAAGCCGAATATTTGAAAGTCAAGGATGTATAAGAAACAATTGAAGAGCTAAATGATCAAAAAGTACCTAAAAAAGACAAATTCATCTAAGGTCAACTTTGCATGAGGAAGTTTGAAACCTTAGTTTCTTTATGATTTCAAAATTTATAAACGGACAATTTTAAAAAGGTTTGTTATAAATCATGTCAGTACCGAAATACTGACTAATGAACGGATGATACCCTCGGTGACTGATAGTCCACCAGCAGAAGTATCGATCGAATACTGTAAAAAATTGAAAACAACACGTTATTAATTTCATGCGTCCGAAGCGCTATTCTATATTTACCTTCACCAGGAAAGCACAAAGCCGAATATTCGATTATCGTTTTCGAATCCACTACTTCTTATGAATTTTTTAGTTGAACCCATTTCTGGTAAAATGGCTGTCTTTTTATCGTTTTGGCAATAAATCATGGGGATTACATATATAAGTATAATTTCATATTTTGTCTATTTAATTCTTAAATAGAAACTGTAGGAAATGATTGTATCTACACGGTACATAGAGTATATTCAATCAAAACTGTTAGACATTTTTATGATCAAGATTAAGGCAATTATTAGCAAAAAACTAATTATGTAAAAATGAAGAATCAATTGTGTTTTAGTTTTGGATGCAAACATATCTTAATTTGTCATTTTATAACCAAACCACAGATAACTGTGATCGTATTAGTTGATTTCGAAAGCAAGAACGGTATATATTCATAACAGGAAGTTCGAACTTGATACCCGGAATGAAACTTCTTTATTGTAATTTTTCAAGGTACATGGAAAAAAAATATCTATCTCAATTCCAACTCACTAGAGTAAAACTCAAAAGATAGGCATGAAAACAATTTGCAATGGACAGAAAACAGGCACTGTCCTATGAAACGGTAGAACTAGGCTTACAACGACAAACTGTCAACTTGTATTACGTAGCTTCGTATTAGTTTATCACGCATAGTCACGTTCATTTAGCTGTGTTTGATCTATGTATACCGATAATGTTTGGCGCTTCTTGTGTATGGGTGTTATCAGACAAACAATTTTGAGAGAAACCGTTTTGCATTTTGTAAATATAGTTGTAACAAATAATTTTTACGATTATTACAGGGATGTTTTGATGCAGTATGGAACCAAATATTGGGCAACACAAAGTTGGCAGTAATAGTTTATGTTGTGGCATTTCTTTTTCAGGTATGTTACCATTATTGAAAAGTTTTGTTCCTCCTAAATTTATGTATAAATGAATATTACTGCTTAACTGGACTTTTCAAACGAAACAGGAAATTATTACCTTTCTGGTGTATCAGATTTTTCTTCTTTTTAATGAAAGTCTTGATACTCAATTTGGTTTTCTGTATGGTGGTCTGGGGTATTTTTTCTATGTTGTTTGCCTTTCTTAGACATACGGGGCTTGATTCCCTCTCGGTTTTCTTACTTTTGTTTTGTGACGTTCGTCCTGCTCGGTCTTTAGTTTTCTCTGTTGTATTTTGTATATATTTTGTTTTGGCGTTGTCGGTTTGTTTTCGACTCTGAGTTTCGGTGTTCATTTGGCATCTTTCGCCTCTCTTTTAAAGTTTACAATTCATAAATTGTTTACATTTAAATTTTTTAAAAGCGAATTAAGTGTTTTTATATGTCGTTTCTTAATGTGTTAAAAATTATGCAAAGCTTCTGGCATAGAACTGTTCTTTAAGTGTTAGATTAAGGTAGATCGGGTGTCTTTTTCTGAGCATCCCTTATGGTCATGTTGCAAACATACTTTTTTGGTTCAAAAATATTATACCAAGTATCATTCAATATACAATAGAAACATCTAAAACTTGAAATATTAAGATTACACTATCAAAAAATTAAGTACCATTAAGTGTTTTCAACTTTTAAAAAACAAATCCTTTTAAAAACAAGGGCATATAATTATATTGAATTTGATAGAACAATTTGTGATTTTTGAATTTTTCAAGAAAATTGGGCCCGTAACTTCCTATTTTTATTTGATATTTCGAATGTATTTATGAAAAGAAATTCTCTCATTGAATTTTAACAAATTATATCGTTTTATGGCTTCTCAATAAAGAAAATTTAAGTTTTCTTTTATAACCCATGTAGAATAACTGTGATTTTGTTAATTTCAGTGTATTTTATCGGAAAAACTAGTTCCGTGACCCCCATTTTGTATATTGAAATTTGAAAGAACATTGACCCACAAGTCTTTCACAGAATTTTAAGAAAAATCTATCGTCGAACATTTAGACACCTAAGCTACCTTAAAAGCCTATTTTACATTAAACATAAGACAATATTGTTTTTTCTCTGCCTGCAAGTACTGTATGACAAGCTGCGTCTTTACACATGATAATAGTACTAACATACTAGATTCGTTACAATATTTTGGGCTTTCATCGCTAAATCTTTGTTATTATAGCTGTTGTATTAGTGATAGATGGGTTTAAGCACATACATTATTTGAATTTTTTGATGAGGTTAGTGTTGCTCAATCTTTAGGTTTCGAGGTAGTGTTTTGTGGACTTGTTCATCTTTTCCTTTTTTTTTCTTTTTTTTTTTTTGCAAATGAGTTTACAATGTACCCTTGGTATCGTCCGCCTCTTATATAGCTGGTGAGCTTTAGTTAAAATTGACTTAAGTAAACCAAATTCTTTTCCAGAAGTCTCGATTCTAGAATTTTTTTTTATTTCATTACACCTTTAAAGGTTTAATGTTAATCTTTACCCGTTTGAAATGCCCCGATGATGAAATGTTATATAGAGCAATTTCCTAGATATGGCTGCTTATCTTCTGCAAAACAAGGAATACTTTCTATACCATGCTCAGCTAATGATTTCACAGGTAGATGATCGGGACTGATATTCATGTCCAGCCTGATATATGACCTCATCAAAGTAGTTGTAAATGTGATGAAGAACAGAACTAAATTGATGCAACGGTAGTTTACCGATGTTTAAATCTCAAAAATCGATTTAGAAGATACAAAATAAGTTGACAAATAAAACTGAATCGCAAAAACTCAAAACGGAGCGAGATCGGGTTTGTCGAACAGGTAAGCGTTTCCTACTACAAAATGTATACATTCATTACCCGCCATGCGAATCCACACTCATCAAAATATCACAATCGGGAATAGGACATAATTGGTAAAATATGCATAAGATCTCAGACCACGAAAACATGTCACTAGTGAGGTAAAACATTGACACATTGTATTGGTCAACCAATTCGTGATGATGACCGTAAAACTTATGTAGTGTAGACTATGTGTAAGGTAGACTCTTACAAGTTTATAAAAATGAACATGTACATGATTTGCTTTTCCAACATTTAGAATGTTTAGAATTTTCAAACTGCATTATTGTTACTATTATACAATCTACTAAACATCAGATTTTTCCCCTTGCTCCGTTGAATTTGTTTGTCGCTCGTGTAATATATGAAAACACCAAACAAGGGATCATGTTAGTAATATAACTGTTTGCAATTTTTTGTATCAGCCAATCATCTTGAGCGACTTGTTAACACGTTAATTACAATTTCCTCCCGCAAATATAGATTTACGCAATTGGATCAAAATTTTGCAGTTATGACTATTAAATGTTTTATCAACCTACAATCTCTGATATAGAAAATTAATAAAGCAATGAAACTTTACTGTTTAGGAATATTTACAATTAGTGATTAGGTCGGTGTAAAAAATAGGAATCATGTCAGAAAATTATAGTTAGATTTACCAGAATAATTTATAAAATATAAATTAATTTACCCGACAAAATAGTACAAAAACTGAAACTTTTGTAGGGGAAGATTTAATTGCATACTTAAAGGGAAATGAACATATTCCGTCTAGAATGTTTTCAGATCTTACACGAGCGACACACATATCGATCGGATCAAAGCGAAAGGTTTTATTTAATCAGATTGTGATAACTTAGTTTTTCATTAAAAATGCTCATGTATTCTTAAGAGATTACGAAACATTGTGTTGCATAACAAACTAAATGTCAGCCCTCGATCTGATTATATCAGATGCTACTTTCCCCTCATGTTAGTCGCAGGCTGAAATAGGGGTTGATAAAGGAAAATGTAATTTTATAATCTGGTTGTCCTAATTCTTTACTTAAAAAGAAATCTCTTATTCTTTACTAATTTTGTGGAAAATGTAAATGTGTTTGAAAAAATGGTACAGTGGTTACTGCATGAAGTATTGAATCAAATCAGTTTAACGCACAAATAAAAAGATGTGGAGTCAACTGCAAGGAGACAAAAAAAAATTAAAAAAAGATCCACAAAACCCAGTTTAAATGAAATAATAAAACATATCTTTTGTTACAACACAACGGGTGACACATGTAGTGCAAGATATTCTTACCCTCCCTGAGCACCTGAGAACACCCCTAGTTTTGTTTTGAAGGGGTTCGGTTTGCCCTTGCTTTAGTTTTAAGTTTTGCTCTTTGTGTTTTTTAATTTGTCTATGTCTGTGTTGTTTATACCGGTAACACAGTCTAGTCTATTTTTTGTAATGAAAAACGTTTCAATTTTAAAATTTCACACTCGGTCATGTTTAAGTGTTAGAAAATTAACATGACCGATTGTTTACAAATTTGGTACTGTCTTAGGGTTAGATAAGAGACGATTTCCAATCCGCTATCTTTGTGGTTTCTAATCACTTGCTATAGCTTAATAACGTATTTTAAATAAGTAAACCCGTTTTTTTGCGCGGTTCGTTTTACTCAGTCTTTAATTTTCTATGTTGTGTTTTGTGTACTACTGTTTGTCTCTTCGTCGTTTTTCGTTTTGTTTTTCGTTTTTTGCGATGAAATTGTCAGTTTGAATATCTATTTGGCATCTTTCGCCTCTCTTTTTATCGTACTGACAGCATATAAAGGAAATAGAAGACTCAACACTTTATTAATATTTATGCTTAGTAACGAAGACATCAACATTTCTCTTTATATTTTAAGTCGTTGCTGATAATATTTTCCTACCTAATGTATGTCGATGGTAAAAAGAAAGGAAACAAAGTGTACCCTAAAGCTTAGCCAAGAAAACAGACTTTGAAGGAACATATGTCCTCACTGGAAAGAAGGGAATTGGATTATGTGTGTGTTTGACACTGCGATGATTTATCATTATTACTAAACAAAAAAATAGTAACTATTTGATTATTACTCTCGTAGATATAAGGTTGTGTTATTTGGAATTAATGTATTCAATATATTCATACTTTTCTCTATTGTAAATATTCATGTTTCCATGACTGTGATCTATTTCTATTTAATATGTACCGACAAGCTGTATAATTGCAGCATTTCTTAATAACCTACAAACTTTATTTCAGAAAAATAGTTGTTTTTTTTTCAATTTTCCTAGAACAAAATGTTGAACATCATGGTTTTATAAAAGTGAACTCTTATATAATTTGTATTGAAGCGAATATGGTTTTACATCCTGTTAATACTACTAGTATGTACTTATGTTTTGGCATTGAAGAATATCATGCTCTTCTCTAACCGTTTTTTTCAGACTGTTTTAGACGTCTTTACACTAAATCCGTTGGCAGTGTACTAATTGATACTTAAATGATAGAGAACACGATTTATATATTAGTTGTATGTGACTTTGAACTTGATTTTAGTAACTGTGAGTACTCTTACATCGGTACTTTGGGACTTTTTTATGTTAGTTATGTTTTGCTTCGTTCCAATCTTGAGTCAAAAGGCAATATACGACTGGTTTTTTTTTTAAAGTTTATTCTTCTGCTGTTCTGTTACACTACTGTTCCTGCTTAGTGGGAGAGTTGAGAATTCACAAACATGTTTAACCCCGAAAGGTCTTTATGTATTTTTTTCAAAGTCATGAGCCTATTCTATAGTAGTATTGTTGATTGCTGTCTGTCATATTTGTTTTCGTTTATTGTTTTGATATTTATATGGCTTTTTCGTTCGAATTGTTTCACATTTTGTCATATGGGGCCTTTTACAGCTTTCAATACGGTACCGGTTTTTTTTTGCTCTCTTTTGAAGGTTGTTTAGACCGACGAAATTGCTTAAATCCACGTCATTTGTTGGATACTTGTATCATTTGGAATTATACCACATCTTCTTATTTTTATATAGATATAGATAAATAACACTTTATAAACTTTATGTAGTCCTCGCATTATCCAAGTTACATTGCTTTAATAGACAATGTGTGTATAGTTTTTGAACTGGAACACATCGTAGAAATTAAATTGAACATTCATATAAATAAGTATTCATGATTTCTTTTTATTTAATAATACCTCTGGAGCCCAGTTCTCTTACTGTTCAGGTCGGTATCCGACCTGCAGAGCCCAGAGCTGTACCGTTGGAGTCCGGAGCGCTATGAATGGAACTCACAGTGAAAATTGGTCAAAGGCCCCTGATTGTCCGGAGCCAAACAATAACATGAGAAGGGGTCAGATCCCTTGTTACTCCTCAAACATACTCCTTCTTTCCACTCTATTTGTTGTGTATGTACGTTTTATTAAAGATTATTGACAAATTTTGGGAATGTATATGAGTGGTGGTTTTCGGAATTGGAATGTGTTTTGTAATAAATGATCACTTACAAATATTTTCTTGTATCGGTTTTTATGCCCCCGCTGCTAGGCGAAGGGGCCATAAGGGTTTATCATTGTCTGTCTGTATGTCCGTCCGTCTGTTCGTACGTACGTACGTACCGAAATTGATCTCCGTGCTTTGACTTTAGTTTGCACTAACCAAATATTATGAAATTAATACACAATGTTTATTACCACCAAACACAGATCAAAATCGAATGTGGCTGGAGTCATTTTCACCGTTTTCGAGCTATGTTTCGAGCTCTTATCAATGGAAAAATTGCTGAATTTGACGTTTCCGCACTCAAACTTTACTTTGCGACAACCAAATGTTCTGAAACGTATACACAATGCTTATTACTATAAAAAAACAACTCAAGTTCGGATTTGGGTGGCGTCACTGTCACTGTTTTAAATTATGTCTTTATAAATGGAAAATTTGCAAATTTGCCCTTTCTGTACCCTAACTTTACATTGCCTCAACCAAATGCCATGGAACTTATACTTAATGCTTATCACCTCTAAACACATATCACGTTCGAATGGTGGGGTCATTTTTACCGTTCTTGATATACCCCATTAATGTTTGTTATTGAACAACGAGAGCACCCGAACCCCCGAGCAATCTCTTATGACAACATACAGAAACAAATGTCATTACGTTGTCACTGAACAACAATAGATTTGAAATACAAGTAGTACATTGACTCTTGCATATCTAAAAACAGGAGCATATGTGTCCCATAGACACATTCTTTTTTCATTTGGGTATATTTTGAATTTGCATTTTTATTTATATATTTTGTATGGATGACGCATTAATTGCCGAGTTATGATATATCAGCGTGTGTATAATGTTTTGCGTGTTTTTACTAACGCAAAGTTAGGAAATAATAAATTTAACATTTTACCTACGAAATTTTTATAATTTATATTCATGTAATAACAAGAATGGAAAACTGTTTATCACGAAAATGTTGGCATACGCGGCATAGTAATGCAAAATATATTATCTTTTGCATGCAGTCATGAAAGTCAATAATATTAACTGTTGCTGGACCAATTCGACCCTCATAGATGATAGTATCATCGTTGAAAGTAGATCCTTTCTTACTGGTGGTTTTTGATACCAAAAATTGTACAACAATAAGCATTTTCGCGTGTGCCTTTCTGGACTAACTCTTATAAGGACCGCTCAATACAAACTATTTATGGTAATATCTTTTTGGCTTGTTATCTATACATCCCGTCATTGTGCTTTTGTGCTATGGTAATTTTTTGTAGTGTTGTCTTCCATTTTGGCTCATATGCTTTGTCTATAGAGAGTCTATATGCCATTTTGTTGACTTCGATGTTTGTTTTTATAGTGATTAAGATTATAACACAATGTTGACTGCTGTACTCTAACTTTTGACATTTTTACTTATTATGTTTGTTTGTTTTGCTGAAAATTTGTAGTCAATATAATGGAGTTCTATGCGAATGTCATACAAGTGAGAGGTTTTAGTTAGCTATAAAACCAGGTTTAATCCACCATTTTCTACATAAGGAAATGCCTGTACCAAGTCAGGAATATGATAGTAGTTTTCCATTCGCTTGATGAGTTTGAGTTTTTGATTTTGCCATTTGATAATGGACTTTCCGTTTTGTATTTTCCTTGGAGTTCGGTATTTTCGTTATCTTACTTTTTTGGGGGATGCTTAGTGACCAAAAGAAACCTAAGAAGGATAGCCAAAACAATCTAACATGAACTTTGTCTGAGGGAGTTCGAACTATAGTGTTTAATCATTTATAAATGTATTAACCGAAAATTGAAGAAATGTATGATATGAATCATGGCAGTTTCTAACCTGATAAATACCTATAATACTAAGAAGCGTCAGTATTCACACAATGCAAAACAATAACAATTTTTAAATTTGGTGCGTCCGAAGAGCTTTTCTTGATTCATGATCATGAATGAAAGGTGTTTATCTTAAACATTCATTTGCAATCAATATTGGCAACTTGATATTGTGCCAAAAGAGAGGCAAAAGATACAAAAAGGGACATTAAAACTCATAAGTCGAAAATTAACCTAAAACGCCATGGCTAACAAAAGAAAAAGACCATGATATTACAAAAATAATGAACTGGTACATGTTACTTTAAATAAAGCTAATACTAACAATGACCACTGCCCTTTCCTCGATCTTGATATCTATATCATTAACGGAAAGCTTAATACTAAAATATATGATAAAAGAGATGATTTTTCATTTCCTATCGTTAATTATCCATTTTTAGATGTAGTAGTCTGTTGTTATTTATGTATTATTGTCATTTTGTTTATTTTCTTTGGTTACATCTTCTGACATCAGACTCGGACTTCTCTTGAACTGAATTTCAATGTGCGTATTGTTATGCGTTTACTTTTCTACATTGGCTAGAGGTATAGGGGGAGGGTTGAGATCTCATAAACATGTTTAACCCCGCCGCATTTTTGCGCCTGTCCCAAGTCAGGAGCCTCTAGCCTTTGTCAGTCTTGTATTATTTTTAATTTTAGTTTCTTGTGTACAATTTGGAGTTTAGTATGGCGTTCATTATCACTGAACTAGTATATATATTTGTTTAGGGGCCAGCTGAAGGACGCCTCCGGGTGCGGGAATTTCTCGCTGCATTGAAGACCTTTGGTGACCTTCTGCTGTTGTCTGTTCTATGGTCGGGTTGTTGTCTCTTTGACACATTCCCATTTCCATTCTCAATTTTAATATTTTCCCTGTGCAAAAGACGAATTGCTGTAACCTTTCCCCTAAAAAGACAAAAATGACTAATTAAAAAAACTTAAAAAGATATTATAATAATTGCAATAACATTATTAGACATATAGCAGAAGTAACATATGATGTGTTTTAACTTTATGCTGTTACACTACTGTCACTTGTTAGGGGGGGCTGAGCATTTTTAACCCCGTCACTTTTTATGTGTCTGTACCAAGTCAGGAGCCAGGAATTTAGAGATTGTCGATTGTTGCTCTCTGTTAAACTTGTTGTTCTTTTACTATTATTGCATACATCAGACCGTTGTTTTCTCGTTTAAATTGTTTCACATTTTGTCATGTCGGGGCCTTTTGAAGCTTACTATATGGAGTGGGTTTTGCTAATTGCTGAAGGCTGTACGGGGAAGAATTGTTTCATATATTTACGTCATTAAGTCACTGGTCTAATTATCATTCTTATTTCTTATTGTAATATATCGTATAATAAATAATCATACTGTCCTTGGATAAGACTAACATGTTAGGTATCACTGTCATATGAAGGTATCATGTGTACAACTTCTGTATCATCAATACTGAAAAAGTTATGAACTGTTTAGTGTTAGATGCAGTAATTAATAAGCGAAAGAAAGGCGAAAGATATCAAAGGGACATTCTAACTAATAAGTCGAAAATAAACTGACAATGCCATGGCTAAAAACAAAAAAGACAAAAACACAAACAACAGTACAAAAACACAACATAGAAAACTGAATATTGAGCAACACGAACCCAACCATGAAGCTTGCCGTGCAAAACATATTTTTTAACTTGACAATTCTTTGGTCAGTTTTTAAAACACCGGGTCTAAATTGATATTTTAGGATCGACATCAATTTTCAAACTTATTCACTGGAGAAAACTCGTTCAGGCAATTCGCTTGCAGTTAATAAAGAGCTCTTCGGTCTATGTTCAGACTGTTCAGTAGTTGTAATTGACCAGTACACATCAAGAACATAATAAATTGTGCTGAAAAGCTACTGAATAGTACTGAATGGACTGCAAGCGAATTGTCTGACATAACTAAATGTACCGCAGTTGTCTGAAAAGGGACCAAAAGACTGAAAATGACTTAATTTTTATTGTTCAGAATTTTCAGATGACGTTTAGATCGAAATGACCATTTAAGACTAAAGTTCATTTACTAGTGTCACAATCGGAGATAAAACATTATCGGTAAAATTACAAATCAGACGACTTTTCTTGTCTCCAAAGATCGGAGACTGCGAAATAATTGCTAGTGAGTTGGGACACAGATATATCGTATCGATCAACCATTTCGTGAAGGTGACCTCAAAACTTCTGAAGTCTCTGATTTTAGCTGTTCTTTATTACTTTGAATGCTTAATTATTTAGTTTTGTTCATTCCTTGAGTTGTTATATTTTTTTACTTTCTTAAGTTCCTGCGTCTTCAGTTATTATGACGTAACACTCGGATTGTGTGGAGTGGAATTCCATTGAGACGATATTGGCATACTGCAAAGATTGAAAAGCTTTTGAACGAATTTTAAAACGAATAAACTGCGCTATAAACAACTAAGGACGGACACTGTAATATTCGTCATCAATATATCCGAGCTAGAAAAATAACTTGTCGTTGGTTCATGTCTGTCATATTTGTTTTTCGTAAATTGTTTTGTTATAAATTAGGCCGTTAGTTTTCTCAATTGAATTGTTTCATATTTTATATCCGACTATTCGGTATGGGGTTTTCTAATTGATAAAGGGCGAACGGTTGCCTATAATTGCTTACATCCACTTCATTTGAACTTTGTTGGATAGTTGTCTCACTGGCAATCATACCACATCTCCTTTTTATTTTGATAGATTTGATGGAACTCACCTGTCTGAAATTGGATACGATATCTTTTTAAACAGGTATCAAGGGGGATAGAAACATTCCTATCATCTGCAAAAATTCGCCCATTCAGCGAAATTTAAGTCTTTGATATTGTTTTTCAAATGGTTATTTACTTGGGGTGGGAGGGTTATAGACCATTCACATGGCGTGATCTAGGTAGATTAATGGAGTTACGATTCTTTCATGTATTCTACGTCTGATCATATTAGGTTTTTTCTTCTTTCCTGCGTTGTCACAAGAAGTTCGGTTGAAACCACAGGCATCTAATGTCTACCAAGAGTGATCGGTTCTAAATTGGTACTGAAGCCCGCCTCCGGGAGCGGGATTTTCTCGCTGTGTTGAAGACCCATTGGTAATCTTGGGCTGTTTTCTGCTCTTTGGTCGGGTTGTTGTCTCTTTGACACATTCCCCATTTCCATTCTCAATTTTACCAGTTCGATCCAAACTCAATGATCTTGAAATTGTTAATCTTCACTCCTCTGAACAACTTAATCATCAGGTGATGCAAATATGAGTCGACGTCTATGGAGATCATGTCCATAGTTGTCTTTATGGTTAACTTTGAGGAACTTGAGCATCCATTGTCACCAATTGAGCACAGACTTGTCAATTAAATCAATTACTGCATTCTGCTATCCATCATGTCAGATCTCGTCATTCCTAGTGAACTGTGGACGCCATTTCCCACATTCTTTATTTTTTTTGTATGCTTTGCCTACAACTTAATTCTTTAACTAAAGTCATGTTCAATCATTAAGTTCATTCTGGGACTATCCAATGCGGTCAGACCATATGCCTGCAGTCAAATAAGATCTGTCTCGTCATTGTTCAGACTGTTCAGTTGCTGTAATTTACCTGTACAAAACAACAACATACTGCATTCTCCGAAACGGTACTGATCAGTACTGGATTGATTGCAAGAAAATTGTAAGCACAGTACTGAAAAATAACCTAAAGTATTAACAAGACTTTACGTTTTTAGTTTTACACGATGATTCTAAGATCAAAATGACCGTTTGATACAAAAATATATTTACTAGTGAGACATAATTGGCTAACGTCACAATAATTTGGATCCAAATGCCAAAACTTGTGTTAACATACATCATAGATATATAACACAACTGACTTAAAAAAATACAAACAAACATATAAATATATCCAACAAAAATACGTTAAAATGAGGAACTAATTTGTTTACAACTTGAACAAAATTATATTATCTCAATTAACCTTAACTTCTTACATATAA